GGGTGTTAGAAATGCTAGAGAACAGGACTATCACATCGGAGATGGGAAACAGCTCAGCCAAAAAGTGTGCAACAAGAGGCACGCCACAAGGAGGGGTATTATCACCTCTGCTGTGGCTGATTGTAATGAACCCGATCCTGACCTCTCTGACAATGAAGGGAATTAGGATAAAGGCATATGCAGACGAGTGGTAATATTGATCGTTGGCAAAGACTTTTGCAGACGTCAGTGACATCATGGAGATCTGCTCTGAAAGAAGTTAACGGAATGGGCAAAAGGAATGGTTTGGGCATCAACCCAGACAAAACCGAAGCTCATTCTGTTTACAAAGAAAATACAAATACCCAAGTTCACGCTGCAAAGCTGGAAGGGAAGACACTTGGCCAACTTGCTAAGGAGACAAAATATTTAGGAAGTCATTCTGGACTCGAAGCTTTCCTGGAAAGGAACACGGAGGAAAAGGATGATAAAGGGAATAAATGCATTCATGCATGTAAAAAACTTATTTGGAAAGAGATGGGGTCTGCAACCGTGCATTATACACTGGATGTACACTGCTATAGTTCGACCAATCATCACTTATGGAGCACTAGTATGGTGGGAAGCGGTACTTAAAAGAGACTAATAAGAAAAAGCCTCACAAAAAGTACAGCGATTAGCGGCTCTAGGTACAACTGGGCAAAAGAATTGGCAACACAGCACAAGCTGCGCTAAAGCAATTCTGGACTTGCAATCAATCGACTGGCTCGTAAAGGATCACAGCCGTAAGGGTGCCCTAAGATTAAGGGAATCCAATCTGTGGAACCAGACCAACTACGGTCACTCGAGGATATTGCCAGTGATAACAGGGAAAATCATGGTGAACACGAGTCCACATCTGCTAGACCAGAAAACGGACTATATGCTCACCAAACATGATTTTGGAGAAAAGATAAGAATTCGCATTCCGACAAGAGAAGAATGGGAAAGCAACCGAGTAATGAACACTCAAGAGATAGCAGTCTACACAGATGCTTCCGCAAATTCAGGGGGCACAGGTGTGGGCATCTTCTCAGAGAAACTAGACATCCGACGATCTTTGAGGCTATCGGATGGCTGTAATGTTCTACAAGCAGAGGTTTACGCCATAAAGGAAGCGGCTAGTTGTATACGAGAGAAAATTGCTGATAGACCAATAGGGGATATAGTGATATACTCTGACAGCTTGCCCGCATTAAGAAGCATCACCATGCAATCAGTGAGATCGAAAACTGTGATGGAATGCCGAGAAGCACTGTCCTGGCTGCGTCGGGGTGGGGCTACTCTGTGCTGGGTGCCAGGCCACAGCAATGTGGTGGGCAATCAGGAAGCAGACAGACTCGCCAAAGACGGGGCCAGGGGAGAGGCCGTGGCAGATGACCCACCACTTTTGACGATCAACACACTGAAGGAGGCTATAGGAACTGCCATCAAGGCCAAGCAGCAAGAGACGTGGCAACACCGTGAGGACTGTGCTACAGCTCGAAGACTATGGCCAGTGGTAGATAGCAAAAAGACAAAACAGCTACTAGAGCATAAAAAGGACCTAGTACGCATAATTGTAGGTGTCGTCACTGGAAACTGTTCCACGGGGGTAAACCTCGTAAGATGGAAAGTTTCCGACGACGACTACTGCAGAGAATGCGGAGAGGAAGAAGAAACCATAGAGCACCTGCTGTGCCACTGTCCGGCACTGGAATACCGACGCATTAAAACTTTAGGGCAAGGTTTTTTGGAGGGACTAGAGGAAGCAGCAGAAGCCAACATCAGCGACATCGGGAACTTTGCAAAGAGCTGGAAGTGCTTTAACGCAAAGAAAGAATGAGAGGAAGGTTTGGTAAAACAATACAGGGGTATCGCAATGGGCCCAAGGCCTCCGAGTGAGGGATCAAATATGATCCCAAACCCCAGCAACCTAACCTAACCTAACCTACAGAAAATTATACCATGAAACATTTTACAAACAAATAAAACAACAGATTAAAAAGTATAATATTTATTATAGTACCAGATTTAAGAACACAACAAATATCGTTGGAATACAAGAGAAAGTGACGTCCATTAGAAACAATGTTTTATTTACGTGTATTTTTTACATATGGACTTGAACAATTGTGTAATATCATTGGAGTTTATGTACAAAATATGGAGTTGATCAATTTTTTTGTAAAAATATATGGCGTTGTAAATACATTAAAAATAAAATTCACGAACATTTGGACTTGGTTAGGTTACCTCACCTCCTCCCGGATTAAATAAAATTGTTAGATAAATCAAAAGACCTTTAACTAAACCTTACCTTTAATAAAGATCTTAAAAATCAAACACAAAACAAAGTTCAAAAGAAATAAAATCACGATTGTAAAATGAAGATTGCAAAAAACACAGCCAAACAACCAGAAAACAGCGAAACGCATCTCCGTTCAACTGCAAACACAACTGAAGAGGAGGAAGCCGGAAACGGAAAACTGATTTGACATACAGAACAATGACAGAACATAATTAATAGGCTTATTTAGGCAACTATATAAACAATTTTGTACGCAATTGTTAGGCAACTAGAAAAATTAAAATAAAAAATACGCCATCTAGCGCCCCAGGAAATTACTACCCCAAAAAAAGATCGTTGGTCACTACGTCACAGGTGATAAACAGCACCATTGGTCGACAAGCTCTGCGCGCCAATTTCAAATTGTCAAACAGATTGTGTCATCTGTGAAATTTGATTGTGTCAAAATGTGAAAATAATTTTTCAAATGTCAAGCTCGATGATTTGACATAACTTTTGGGATTATGTCCTAATTCTTCCCTATTTTAGGTCTTAATTTTTTATTAGTGGCAATTGTACAATATGGATATTTTTTTGTGTGGCGTATGACGTCACAGGTGGTATGCGGAAACTTAACGAAATTGGAGCCGCTATCGATCATACCCTGTTTTCTTTGTACCTATGCTTTGTACCATGGGGTAGTATAATCTGGTATAATACCATACGATTGAAAAAAACGGCGTCAGAGGTGGCTTGGAAATGAAGATAGCTGTTATTTTGTACGTAAAATTATATGGGGAATGTCATCGATCGTAATTTTCAAGCCAATTGAACGTCGTTTTTTTTCGATGGTACAGTATAAATTGAAAGCTCTTAACTGACACAAATAAACTTATAAATTTTGACGCAAAATTCATTGACATATTTATGTAGGTATATTTTCGAGCTGTTAATACAAATATCCAATGAATAACGTCAAAATGTGGCTAAATAAAACTAAATCGCGAACGTTTTTACTATAAACTAAGGATGAAGTAAGTATTGTCAAATAACAGTCCTCATATAATGTCCTAAAAATATTCTATAATGCCCCCAACATCATCCTTGTATTATCCTAGAAATATTCTAAATAATCGTAAAAGGCTTGCCTAGGGATGTCTTGAAGATGACTTTTTTTGTCCCACTTGGATATCCCATACATATCCTCCTCTGGTTTTTGGATATCCCTAAGATATTTACTGTATCCTTGGTGGATATCCTCAAGATATCTATAGGATTGTGTTGTGTTATATGGGATAGAATTTCTGCTAGAAAAAGGCTAGAACTATGAGTATAAGAAAAAACTAAGTCAAACTCAACCAGTTTTGTTAGTTTCAGTCATTTTTAAGCCCATTCAATAACGACAAACGACCGAATTCACCTCGAATTTCACTAAATCAAAGAACTGAATAATACACTGTGATAATACACGATGCAAAAGGCAAAAACAAACAACTGTCGAGATGGATTGTGGGAATTTTTTTGCGCGGGCGTTTTAAATTCTCTGTATTACTGGGAGTGGCCAAGCTCATAAATATCCAGATTATCCAGAAGATACCAACAGGATATTTTGTTGCCTTGACGTAATATATATCTATCTGTATGGTTTATTGCATTTTATGTAATTATAAAAAGTAGTACATTATTTATTTTTCCCAAATATCTAGACGATATTGTTAGGATATTTTATTATCATGAGCATGTTTGGATATCTCAGCTGGATATACATTAGATATACGACAGAGATATCCATAGGATATTCTATTCTGAGACATCTACAGGATTTCAGGATGTCTGGAGGATATCCTATAAATGTCTTTTTAAGATGATCTTATAATGGGACATTCCGACATTCTATGAATATCCTGCGGATATTGTGTGTTATATGGGCCTCAACATTTACAACAGAGTACAAAATGCATTCGGAAGTATAAGAAGATCTGTTGAAAGGGCTATACATAAAATTGAACGAAAAATAAATGTGTGCAATAGGGAGGGTGGTATTAAATAAACCATTTCGAACATGTAGAGCATTAGAAATTTGTTTGTAGAAGTTGATATATTTATAATAACTAGGATTAATATTATGCATATTATTAGATCATACATTGAGATTTCAAATTAACAAAAAAAAAATTAAAATTAATATATTTTAAATTGCTGACCTGGATTTGAAACTTTTGAAACTTTTTTGATAGCATGTTGGCAAACATCCCAAGGCGCAACTTTGCTCCAATTTAACCATCTTCGTATCTATTACGGTTTCCGAGATACCCATGCTCGTACCTCGAATTTGTAGCACCCTGTATGGAGTGTTCCATTACAAAAAATACAACTTTGATATGTATTTTTTAGGGGACACCCTGTAGAACTCTCTATATTTTTAATCTGAATCTGAATTAACTTACATATGCTCACAAAATTTAATTTCAATATAAACTGTCGTTCTCCCTAGAGCCTCCGCGTCGTATTAGCTGCCCCAGCGCCACCCTGTATATAAATATAATTATATTAACAAAACTCTTCAAACAATATCAATATTAAATTTGAAAGATTTTTTATCACCTACAGGTACTAAAAATATAATCTAATTATATAATCTACGAGTTAGCCAAACCATTATTTCTGGAAAAATATACTTTATCTTATCCTGATTATTTCGCAGGACCTCTAGCCAGTATTGATTTCTCCTGGCCAACTTGACAGTTTATTCGGCGTAATGTAGCGTTGTAAAGAGAAATGCAGAGGCATCTTCAATACAACAGAAACGAATTGTGATAATTATTAAAAACAAAAAGTTTATTTACTTTGTTATAAAAAAAGTTGTGAAAAAACTAAAAGTGTTTAAAAATATTTCTTTACCTGATTGCGCAACGACATATATTCAACATATTTAATAATATACATCATAACTCTTATTTTCATAATAATTTAAGTATAATAAAACATAAATAAAATCACCATGCCCATAGTTATCAACGAAAATAATGGCGTTTTATCAATCGTCTGTTTTATGGGGATACTAGTTCTTGGTATGGTTTATTATAAAATATATTATCCAGAAGTTATAAATGAAACATTTGAAAACAACTTAAATGATTCAAACAAAAATGTCCTTTACAGTACTGAAACCGACAAAGGAAACATATCCCATGGAAGTACGAGTGTCAAAAAGGTAAGCTATTGTTTGTTTACAACTTATTTATTTGATTTCGTTAAATTTGTGTTTTAGTTGATTATTTTACTATTTTAAATACGAACTTTTTTGCTTGAGCGTTAAAAGCTTCTACAAAACCTCACTAGTTTTTAAATATATATTAATAACATATATTAATGAAACTTTAAATACCACTTAAATACCAATATTTTTATGGTTCATTTTCATTATAGTATGTAAAATATCAAATGAGCTTTAAAACCTTTAAACTTTGTAAAACAAATGCATATAAATGTAGCCTCATTATTATTATTATTTTTAGATTATTTAATTTTTTAATCATTTTTATTTAAATTGTTGATGTGTTGTTATAATTGTTTGTTTTGATTCAAAACAGTTTTTATTTTATTTTATTAACTGAATAAATAATTGCAATTGATTTCATTCATTGAATGAAATTCATCAGTTTGAAGATAATAATTGCATTTGATAGACTGATTTCAGGGTTCTCAGACTTTCATCATTTTTGTGTTAATACAGGGCCCGGCATTAGTGCGTCGGGCATCTGTAGCTCCTAGAATAAAAAAACTTTACACTACTTTACATAATCCTAAGATATGAGTAAATATATTTAGATAGTTTTAGAGATATTAATTAATAAATAAAAAATATATTTTTTAAGCCTGCTTTAAAAAAAAATATTAAAAATACAAAAGAACTGTCCTGACATCAAAACTATATTAGATATTTACTTTAGATGGTCTGTACTTACTTTACTATAAATATGGTAATCGTAAATCATACAGGATGTTGAAAATTCTACGCGAAACTTTCTAAAATATAAAATAATTTTTCTTCGTTATTTTAAATGGAATACCCTTTATATTATTTTTGAATAGATAGATATGGAGATAGATGGAGAATTATAAAATGAACATTTTCTGTATTTAGAATATTTCAAAATTTTTAACAGTTTTGCATATACTTGATATTCGCGGTTTTCTATTTCATGTGGCATTTTTCTCAGTAAATTTTTATCAAAGCTATCCAGTGATTTTTCTCTCGTATTACCATTGAAAGAGTCATATGAAATATTACTGCCTCTATGTGCGAAACCATAAAAGTTTTGAAATACTTTAATTACAAAAAATGTTCCTTTTTTAATTCTCCTATATTATCTATAAAAAAATAATATATAGGGTTTTCCATTTAAAAAAAAACAAGGAAAATTATTTCATATTTTAGAAATTTTGGCGTAGAATTTTGAACACCTTGTATGATTTAAGATTACGATATTTATAGCAAAATAAGTATAGATCATCTAAAGTAAATACCTAATATAGTTTTCATTTCAGAGAAGTTCTTGTATTTGTAATATTTTTTACGGAAGGTTGAAAAATATATTTTTTTTTATTTACTTATTAATATCTCTTAACTTACCGAAATATATTTACTCATATCTTAGGATTATGTAAAGTGATTTAAAAGGATGCCAAAAATGAAATAATGTACAGGGCGTTCCATTAAAAAAAAGCATCCCGATCCACCGATCCACTCATACTTTTTTGAGCCACCCTATAGAAGTTAAACTATTTTCCTGAAATACATCCTCATACATATTTCAGGTCTGCACTTAAACAAAATTCTCATGTTTTTTATTCTTGGAGCTACAGACACCCGACGCACTATTTCCGGACCCTATGTGTTTCTTAGTTTTTTGTCAGTTATTGAGAATCCCATAATAATACGTAAATTATAGGTGCATCTAACGAACATTTCACAAATAACTTGCAGAGAAAAAGATAAATCAGCTGAATTAGATAATATCTGTAAAGAGTATATGAAGAAAAGATTAACATGTAAGCCACAAGACATTTTAAATCCGGCCATGCATAAACTACCAAAATATTACAAACATGGACTCAAAAATTCGTCAAATGACACTCAAAGTAAGTATTGGTTAATATTATGCTGGTTTGCAAAAGCATTTTTTTTCGAGCTCTGGCACGTTTCGATTTCTAGAATGTAGAATGTAGAATGAACGAGAGAGAGGGTTAATCACTGCAACCTTAAAGATCTATTGCGCCCCCCTTCCTTGAGTTATAACTTACTACTCCAGTCCATAACCCAGCATGCATTTTCCGGTTCAGGGGGGACAGGGTATGTCCCATTCTCCTCTGACAACAGATATACTTCCTCCGAGGGTATACACCCTCTCGCAGTTGGAGTTTGGCCCTCCGTGCCCATCACAATCGAGGAGCTTGCCTCCGGCTGAGGTACCCGTGAGGTGGAGGCTGGAGGATCTGTCTCCACTTTCTCCATCTCTTTAACTTGGTCTCTCCTTAGACCTGATATCGGTGTTGTCTCGTATCTATAATAGAGGATATATCCCTCTTTCTCTATTCCCTCCTTGGATTCGAGGTCAATGCCTATTGTGAGGACCTGGCCATGACCTTACTTCCTCGAGTCGATGACTCGCCAACTCGATGTCCTAACATTGGAGTTCTGAGCCTGGATAAGACTCAGCAGGTAGGTGGTGTCTTTCCCTTTGCTTCTCGTCAAAAAGACCGTGATGGCCGCCCCTTTTGAGATGTTTTCTCCCTTAACTGCAACCAGTTCCGGCCCTTGCCAATTTTTTAAGCTTATAGGTGCGTTTTCCACCAACCAATCCGCCAATTCGTAAGATCACACAATCAATGAGGATCATGCCCACCTGAAAGTGTATCCCCGCAAAACGCAGCTGACCCACATTTTGTAGATCGTTGTGTTGCGCTCCTGTCGCCATTACTTCATTCAGTAATACTCTTCTAGAGCCGTTTACTGGTCGGTGGTCAGTGCAACCTCTGGGTAATCCTTTGGCAGCACCGCCATTTTTTCTTGTCCAGCAATAGCGCCAAAGCTTGTGATACGTTCCTGCTTGCCTCCCGGTGTTGGACGGCTTTCCATCCTGGCTTTTTTCTCTCTTTGCCAAAGCAGAAGTGAGAGGTTTTCGCTCCCTCTCTTGCTCTTTGGTGGAAATGCGCCAAGCTGTTTCTTGTTTCCTTTACTCTCGTCTTTTCCGAGGAGTGTTTTCGTTTTTGTTTCCTCTGGAGCAAGTCCTTCCTGGAGCAGTCGGAAGTATCTCCGTGCTTCTGCTGCGCTAAGACCTACTCCAAAGGATCGTCTAGCCCGCCGGATTGACCCAGGCCGAGTAGACGAAACGGTAGCTTGTATCTAGAGGTAGACTCCTGACATATTTGCTGGAGGTGGTGATAGTTTTTGTGCCATTTGTGGAAGATGATCTCACGCATGTGTCAGCCGCCTCTTTAGTAGTTCCCTTTGGGTTTGGTCCCTTGGAATTTTCATTGTTAATGTTCCCAGTGTCGCTAAGGGGTTTTCCCACAGCTTAACAGCGCCAGCGGGGTGTTTTTAATACTATATCTCATAGTACAGAACCCCGTATGTAGAAGGAAGGGGTAAATACAATGGGGTGCCCCCTGGTGCCCCAATGTTAAGACCAGTAAAGGTTAGTCTTCTATCTAGCCACGCATCCCTTTGCCCTGATCCCGCCATTGTAGGATTTAGATTTTTGGTGAGGTTGTCTCCTCTTGGTCCGGGCGGTTTCCAAAGGTCCCCCACACCCTCTACCCGTGAGGCATAACCACAGATAGTGGAGGATGCCTGGTATGGCGGACAGGATAGCCTCTATCGTTATATGTCTTGGCACAATTCACACAGGTACAATTCACACTACAGCCTGGGAAAAGACAGTGAGATGCTTCTTAGACCGAGCTAAAGTGCTAGAGGAGATTCCTCCAGCACCTGACTATGAGCTTCCCCACCAAGGACAAGGTCTTGCATCTCCTAGGTGAAGTTCTGATTCCTATGTAAAATGACCCACCCACCATTTTCGAAGCAGCCCCATCTCTATTTTTATCATATTTTTATCACTTTTGGATAATAGTAATAATTGTATGGACATGGATTTAATTTATACTAAAACATGCAAAATGTTAGTCACTAGACATTAATCCGGATAAAACTAAAACTTCCATTTTTTACATGCAGTATTATTTTTTTAACATTTCACGAACACTATTGACAATGTCTCTTTACTTACAGACTTTTTTTAATTACAGATACAATTGTAAATTACATAATAGCAGCTCTTATTATAACGTCATTAGGAGCAGCCATATTAGAGTTTTACAGAGCAAAAATTTACACTCCTGCACAAAATGGACGCAAAGGCTTGAAACCTCCTTTAAATAGAAAGTGCTCCTTAGCCGACCTCACTGTCCTAAAGCATCACAGAAAAGAGTTGGTAAGACGAGAAAGCATACTGGAACACCATTTTGAAAGTAAAGATGAAGATTTGACAACAATGAAGTTCCAGGGTAGGGGGAACTCCACCCGCCCGCAACTGCGACTTGACTAAGGTAGTTAAGGGGCGCAGCTAGCGGGTGATTTTGTACCTTTCAATGTTTTGTCTATTTGGTGGTGTAACTATGTCTTAATTTTTCGATACCCCCACATTTTATTTGTACACTTTACACATATTTTTTACACAATAATTTCATGTATTATTTCTTAATATTCTTTACAATTCTTCTTCATCTTCTTTACAGTGATACACTTACTTATACAGGGTGTCCCAGTTCAAACGAAACAAGGCAATTTAAAGGCATTTCTGGTGTGAAAACGACAAAACGGTGAAACACGTCAACTTTATTTTCGAAGGGGAAATAAGATGCGATTATTTTTGAAGCCCCTAATTCAAACCCCACGCGGGGTGACATCCACCCTTAAAGTAGCACATCATTTGAAAGGTCATTAATGCCTCTTTTCCGCGCCGTCTCATTTTTAGAGTTTTTGTCACATTTGGTGGAATCGGGCTGAAAAATAAACTTTTCATAAATTGATGATGCTTTGATATTTGATTAATTGTACAGGATTCGAAATGGGGTTTAAAATATAAAATTTAATTTAAATCAACAAGATTTTGCTTAAGGAATAATACACAAAAAGCAGTACCCTGCTTTGAAACAATTACTTGATTAAATGTTCGAATTGAGCACCCCCTGCTTTCATGCACGAATACAGGTTCTGCTCAAAGGGTTCTCGGACGTGTTGTAATATTTCGGGTGTTATAACCGCGCACTCGTGTACATTTAACATAATACTTCCATAAAAAAAATCCAGCGGATACAAATCCGGTGACCTAGCTGGCCATTCAAGAAAGGGTCCCCTTCTTTCAATCCACTGACCGGGAAATGTTTCATCAAGATACTGCCGCACACGTATAGCATAGCGTGGAGAAGCTCCATCTTGTTGAAACACAAGTTGATTTTCGTCATAGTGATCTTCATTCTCAGTTATTTGTGTAATGCTGGGATTTATTACATTTTCCAAAAGATTCAGATACATATTTTCTTTTAAATTTCCATCCAGAAAGAACGGGCCAACTAGACAGTCGCTATATAAAGATTCCAGCTCACATATTAATTTTTTCAGGGTACTAAGTATGAACCTCACGGAATTCTCTAGGATTTGTATCAGACCAGTAGCGACAATTGTGGCGATTTACTGTTCCATTAAGGAAAAATGTACATTCATTCGAAAAGCACATGTTGAAAAGAAGACGCGGAGTAGCAATGAACATTTCACTTAGTTCTTCACAGAATTGTAATCGTCTGTTGTTATCATCTTAGTTCAATTCTTGGACCAGATGAAGTTTGTAAGGATGGAATTTGTGGAACTTTAGTATCCTGTGAACACTACTCTTACTTATTCCTGTGTCTGTTGCCAATTGTCTAACACTCATTCTCTTGGTTCGACATGGATTTGTCCCATAACTACTATTTATATCGCCTCATTGTTAACTACACCAGGTGGAACTTCTCGCTTCATTGTAGGAACATTTCCGGTTTCTCTAAATTTAGCTACTAATTCCAGCACGTAGTTTCTATTGGCATGTTTATCTGGATGTCGGTCATTAAATAACTGTGCCGTTCTATTGCCACATCCGTCATGACTAAGGAAAGTTTCAATTATCTCAACTTTATCTGCAGTAGAATAAACCATCACGTCAATTCACGTCAATATACTAAATACTCTTACGATAATACTAAGAACAGTAAACCGTACAAAATATTAAGAATACTTTCAAACTGAATGACAAGATGAAAAAGATTTAGCAGTACTGCCTCAAAAGAAGATAAGATATTAATAAAATCAATTTTTACCTACCAAAAACTTGTTTGCATTTTTGTTTCTTATCGGCTAATACACGTCTTCTTTTCAACATGTGCTTTTCGGATGAATGTGCATTTTTCGTCTACGGAACAGTAAATCGCCACAATTATTGCCACAATCGCCACAATTTTCACAGCAGAAATGCCTTTAAATTGCCTTGTTTCGTTTGAACTGGGACAACCTGTATATTTTTTCCCTAAAGAAAAATTGTTTAAATTGATACCTTCTACCGGGTTACAAATTTGGCTCGCACGATTGGGATCTGAGAAAAGATAAACAATACGGATTGGCTAAAATTGGCGCAAAGTTGCCTGTTAGTAAGCCCAATGGTAATCCGATTAGTAATTGAACTTATCTTTATCATTTCTCGAAATATGGCGGGAAAACTGAAATAGTCGGTCTTTGTTTTTATTTTTTTACGGGTTTATTTTGACAGTTAGAAAAACTTTATAAGACAGCTCAAGCCTCTACGTCGTATGAGAGGCGCCACCCTGTATAGTGTGTTTCGAAAACAATTGATAAAAATGACTGAAATGGCATTATCAGAGGTTTGGTAACTGATTTTATTAATAAACAGTAAATTTTATTTACCTACTTGTAATTTGATGTTACTCTTGTTTGCATCTCTGTGTTTTTTGTAGTATTCTTGTGATATTTTTAAATCTCTATGCAATAATCTTATGACATAAATATGTCCTATCTTACAATTATATACTTTCAGGATCCACACCATCTCCGCTTCACCGTAGATGCTCATTTCCAGTTAATTTTCCTTCAAATGATTTATGTAGAAGCGGGCTAAATAGTCCTTCTAGGAAAATGTCCGTTACAGCTGATGCAAGTCGAAGGTATTCAATGCTAAATTCAGTAATAAATATAGGAGGTCGTAAACTGTCCATGGTGGCAGATGGTTATGGAGAAGATATATGGAAAAATGGTAGCTATTGCGAAGATTCTTCTCCCGAAAGAAAACATCATTCCAGGCTTGTGCATAGGCACTGATATTATTCGATACAAAAATAATTATTATAACTTATTTTACTGTATTTTTAAAAGTAGCGCACGTTTAAATTTATGGATTTAATCACAAATAAAAATGTAAATGATCAATAAATTTTGGTTATTTTAATTACACAAAATTGTCTCATTAAATTTGATTTAGAAAGTATCTGTTCCAAGTAGTATATTTTCTTACTAAGTGCTATTCCAAGTAGTATATTATACAGGGTGTTTCAAAAAACATGTGCCATCTCTCGTGAGGAGATTCCTTACGTAAAAATAAGATTTATTTCATATCAACATAGGTCCGATTCTGCTTTGTTTCTTAGCTACAGGATGTTAAGGTCTTAATTAATTATTCTTTCGATTTATTATAATTTTCTTCCAAGCACTTTTAGAGATATGAATGAAATTTTGAGGGTAAAAGTGAATATAAGTGCTACATATTTTAATCCTAAAAAAGTATCGATAAATTCGTCAGAGACGTATGGGTTGTCACTCGAATATTTTTCAAAAAAAAAACATGTTCGCCACTGACTTTTTTTTTGATATCAAAATTAAAATTATGTAGGCCGTTTAATGCCTATGTTGTCGAATTCGGCCTTCTTGATGAAATAAAGGCAATTTTACACAATTAATAAAATTTATTATTACTAGTTATTATTACTATTAGTCCAATCTACAGCAATTTCAAATAAAAAAAATATTGGTATTTAGGATAATTAAAAAAAAGTATAATTTTAAAAAGTTTTAACATCCTGTAACTCTAAAACTATACATTTCCATGCACATATTTCTAGGAACTTTTTTCACATTTTTTTGACATTTTACTTATTTAAACCTTTACGCAAGTTAATGATATTTTTTTAAGTCCCTATTACACGTGGGTCAAGGCTTAAACTGCTTCCACTATTTCGTTAACAAGAGAAAATAAGTCAGTGTTGTACATACTTTTTTAGAAAAAGATTCCAGCAGTAATAACTCATATTCCCGTCCCTGGTGAATATGTCGACACTTTTTTAGCTTTAAAATATGTCGCATTTATAGTAACTTTTACCATCAAAATTTCATTCGAGACGCTAAAAGTACTTGGAAGAAAATTATATTACATCGAAAAAATATTAAGATTTAAAATGATAAAGCTACGAAAAAATAAAGTAATAAAGCGTTTAAAAATAAAGTAATAAAGCTACGAAACAAAGTAGAATCGGACCTATGTTGATATGAAAAATAAATCTTATTTTTACGTGAGGAATCTCCCCACGAGAAATGGTACATGCTTTTTGAAACACCCTGTATATTACAAAAGTTCACTTTGTAATATATAATATACCTACTACTTGTATTCACTTTTTTTTCGTTGTGAACACTTTAAATTGAAATTTAAAATACTATTTTCATCAGATTTTTATTAAGCGAAAAAACGTTGACAACGAGAAACAAAAGTTGACATACGAGATGTTATTCTCATCAGAATGTCATTTTCTATCGAATAAAGTAAAGAAATCTCGAGGGCATCATTTAAAAATAAAAAGTCGCAGTAATTTCGGGTGAGACAGAAGTGACCAAAAATAAATGAATACGTCGTTTTTACGCGTGTTTTGATTGCTTTGGTTTCACTCTTTTGTTTTTTTTTTCAATTTCCTCTGTTTAACGCACATCTGTTTTTTTCTTAATCTTAATACGAATTAGAGTACTTTGATTCCAGATTTCGGATCTTGCTTGACCGGAATTTCCAAAAAGTTGGTTTGGGTAGGGTTGGGTTGGGTTGGGTTGGGTGGGTAAACTTAGTTGTTATTAAAAAAAGTCTATACCTCTGAGGCGGCTTCATGTCCAAAAAAAGTCGTATGGATATTTCGCCACTGTAAGATAATCTACAAAATAAAATAGTTATTTTTTATAAACACTGTTGCGTTAGTTGTTATACGTGAATAAATAACGAAAGAACACGATGTATGTAGTTTATTTTCATGACAATTTGGCGAAGGGTGCGATTTATACAATAATATTTTAAAATTCTTTTGTAGTAAACAAAAACAAAAATATTTAACAATAAGTTTAATGTACGTATTTTAATATACTTAAATATGTAATATAATTTTAAAACAAAATGTTCAAAATACGCTTTTTGTATAAGTGGTCGTATAAAAAGATTAAGAAAGAAGAACATCAAGAAATTTGGCTGACTTAAATTCCGGTTAAACAGTGTCATTTTAATTTTATTTAATACGTGTAAAAATATAATGTACGGAAGACAGAAAAATTTGCTGGTTTTGATTTATGTTGTCAATAAATGTTATTAGTTACTAAAATTGTTAAATAATACATTTCTAATAAAAACTAATAGGATATATTAAATATTTAATGTAATAACACAAATATCAGATACGCTGCTGAAACACCTAAGTCAAATTGACGTACCGTAATTATTTTTGACAAGTAGTAAATGAAAGCGAAAATGCCAAGAATATATACAGGGTGTTTCAAAAAACATGTGCCATCTCTCGTGGGGAGATTCCTCGCGTAAAAATAAAATTTATTTTTCATATCAACATAGGATCCGATTCTGCTTTGTTTCGTAGCTACAGGGTGTTAAACACTTAATATTTTTTCGATTTATTATAATTTTTTTCTAATGAGTACTTTTAGCAATTTGAATGAAATTGAGGGTAAAAATTACTACAAATGCGACATATTTTAAAGCGAAAAAGGTGTCGACATCATTGGCGTAACTCCAGTGGCGCCCGGGGGCGCACCCCCTCCCCAGCTACTGCTGGGCACCCCCCAGAGAAAGAGTCCTAGCCCTACCTGCATCTATTTGGTCCAGATTGGTGTGGTATAGTTCCCAATCGGTTTTTCTTGGATTCCTTCGAATTTCAGTTTGGAGTGTGGTTCCTCCTAATTTGAACTCGATGATTCTGTGATCTGATAGGGAAGGTTCCGTTGAGACCCTCCAATCTTTCACGTAACTAGTTACACTAGCACTCCCGATTAAATCTAATACTTCCGCCCGCGTTTTTGTCACAAACGTGGGGGTGTTCTCTATATTGAGAACTTCAAGATTGTATGCTAAGAGGAATTCTAGTAAACACTCACCTCTAGTGTTAGTATTAGTGCTTCCCCATACCTCTAGTTTTGTTTAGTTAACATTATTTTGTTGTGTTCAAAAAATGTGTTAATTTTTTTTTAGAAAATTTGTAGGTATTTAAGTAATCTACGGGAACACGGTTTGATAACCAAGTCTATGATAGAGAAATTCATGTAAACGTTTTATTCAAAAAATGTGTTTTTTTAAAATTATTCTTCACTTTTAAAAAAAAAAACAAAAGCACTAGGCCCCCCCCCCTAGGCGAACCCCAGGCCCCCCAGGATAAATTTCCAGTTACGCTAATGGTCGACATATTCACCAGGGACGTGCATATGGGTTATCACTGGAATATTTTTCTAAAAAAAGCATGTACGCCACTGACTTTTTTTTCTCTTGTTAGCGAAATATTGTAAGCAGTTTAATGCCGATTAAAACTTGTCTCTTGGTATTTTGTTGATTTCTACCTCCTTGATGAGATAAACGCAATTTTATTAATTTGCTTTGATCCATGTCTTATGCTAAGAGCCATGCTGAAAATTCTACGCCAAACTTTCTAAAATATAAAATAGTTTTTCTTCATTTTTTTTATTTGGAACAATCTGTATATTATTTTTTCAATAGATGGAGAATTAAAAAATTACCATTTTTCGTATTTAGAGTATTTCAAATTTTTTGACGGTTTGGCAGTCATATTTTACCGTTGAAAGAGCCATATGAAATAATACTGCGGGTGTCTGCCAAACCATTAAAAATTTTGAAATACTATAAATACAAAATATATTAATTTTTTAATTCTCTTTCTAATAAAAAAATAATATACAGGGTATTCCATTTTGATCCAAAATTGCTGGTTAGTTTTAAAATTGACGATCGATGACATTCCATATATAATTTTCCATATAGACTGCCAGGGATCTTCATTCCATGGCCATCGCTGATGCCGTTTTTTCTTCGATCGTATACTGTAATATTACATACATAAATTGAGAAATGAGAGATACTTAAATACCCTTAATTCCAACTGAGCATCCCCACGTTAATAAAATACTTTATTAAAGTAATTTTATATCGTACGCGCTTTTTAGTCGGAGCTTCTTAGTACTACAAATTATGTCCGTTAGTACGTAACTGTACTTAAGTTTCAATCATTTTTGCTGAGAAATCACGACGGTACTGTTAGCTATTGATTAAAAGTACTTCGAATCAGATAAAGAAATACGGCGCTATTATTTCGTTCGCACCTAAGACAAGAAGGTCATACAGAGCAATGGTTTTTGCTATAGAGATATTTATCGTTCAAACAGCGTTAATTTAACTGTATCGTATTTTTACCAATGTAATTGGAAGATATGGAAAAGTCTTCTGACACTTTCTGATGTTATATATGTAATTGTATTTTTAAGCAATTTTCCTACTGCAAATGATAAATCAGTAACATTTTATAAACAATAATATATGTTGTGTTATAAAAAACCTTCATATTGGTTTTAAGTTCTTCTAAAGCTACTGGTCTCCAGAGTTTAGTGGAACGACTTGAAGGCTCCTGTAAGAAATACAGAATAAAGATTAATTCATCTAAAACTAAAGTGGTATTTGGAAAAAGCCAAAATGTACCAATTCCTACTAAAATAGAGGGCAAAACCTTAGAACAGGTCTACAAGTTCAAATATTTGGGGTCCTGGATAGTTAACACCTTGAACAACGACGTGGAAATAAAAACCAGAATAGAACAAGCAAGAAATGCATTTTTAAAAATAAAGAACGTCTTCCAGAACCCCAGATTGGACCTTAAGTTGAGAACTAGCCTCGTTAAGTGTTATGTTTGGTCAATGGCATAAATACCGAAGTCTACAACAGAATAGGCATGCAGAGAAAGAGAATTGCTCAATATAATAGAAAATAAGAAAAACATCATGCTTAGGGCAGGGCATATATTGAGAAATGGAAAATACCACGTCATACAATTAATAGTTAAGGGTAAAATTGAAGGAAAAAGAGGTCTCGGCAGGAAGAAACTATCTTG